TTTAAACAAATATTCACAGGATTAAAAACAAGCCGTAAAGCCAGATCCTGCGCATCTTTTTATTATGTAGCTCAGTAAAAGAGGACACCCCTTGCGCTCAGAAGATCCCTCTAGGTAGGACAAGATGAACATCACTAGACGTGATCAAACCCCTGAAAACAGGGAAAGCTCCATGAATGGACAGGAAAAGGTTCTGTGAGAAAGTGAGGCAGATGGTAGGCCTTTTCATATCTGAATTCAATAATAATAATAATAATAATAATAATAATAATAATAATAATAATAATTTTTTAATTTATATCCCGCCTTCCCCAGCCAAAGCCGGGCTCAGTGTGGCTAACAACAATAAAAGTAACACAGCATTCTAAAATCAATTCAAAATCAAATTGATGGCAACCATTGGGCTACAGTTCTATGAGGATTATTGAAGGAGGAGGTCAGACTGTGCCTTGGCCAAAGGCCTGGTGGAACAGCTCTGTCTTGCAGGCCCTGTGGAAAGATGTCAAGTCCCGCAGGGCCCTAGTCTCTGTGACAGAGCGTTCCACCAGATCGGGGCAATGGCCGAAAAAGCCCTGGCTCTGGTTCAGTCTAGCCTAACCTCCCTGTGGCCCGGGACCTCCAAGATGTTTTTGTTTGAAGACCGTAAGGTCCTCTGTGGGACATACCAGGAGAGGCGGTCCCATAGGTACGAGGGTCCTAGGCCGTATAGGGCTTTAAAGATTAAAACCAGCACCTTAAACCTGATCCTGTACTCCACCGGGAGCCAATGCAATTGGTATAGCACCAGGTGAATGTGATCCCGCGGCGAGGACCCCGTAAGGAGTCTCGCCACGGCATTCTGCACCCGCTGGAGTTTCTGGGTCAGTCTGAAGGGCAGCCCCACGTAGAGTGAGTTACAATATGAGTCTAGAATATGACCATGGTTTAATGTGGAGAATAAGCTTATAAAATCATAGGATTGTAGAGTTGGAAGGGACCACGTGGGGTCATCTAGTCCAGCCCCCTGCAATGCAGGAATCTTTTGCCCAACATGAGGCTCAAACCCATGACCGTGAGATTAAGAGTCTCATTCTCTACCAACTGAGCTATATTCCTGTGTCGCCATTCATTTCCCACAGTCCATAGGTCATTCTCCCCTGCATCGCTGCCTTTCCACACCCTCCCCATTCCTGGGTTTGGATTTTCTCATACCAGGGATGCTTCGCAAAGGAGAGGGTATAGAAAACTCAAACAGAGGGAAGGGGAAAATGCAAGAGGGCAGTGATATGGAGGAGAACATCATCTGGACAACGGAGAGTTAACAGGCTTGTCATCAAACAGCAGTATAGATGAGCCTTCTGGAAAGTGAAGGAGAATAACTGATATCAGCTGAATGAAGGAGATCACAAGCTGTAAGTTTAGAATTGGGATATTGCAGCTGGTGGGGTGTGCTGGGGTTGCGAAAGCCAGCTGAAAAGAGCTGCTGTGCGACTGAATTAAAGATTAAGGAATAAATGGGGAATGGATAAAATCCTGACTCAGAATGTGTGCAACTGGTATGTAGGGGGGAAGGGGATATTGGGCTCCTTTTATTGGAAAAAATTGTAGATAAACCTATCCCCACCAGTAAGGTGAGAGGTCAGAGGTTTAGGCAAAGTGCATGATGAACCAGGGGGATACAGTGGTACCTCGGGTTAAGTACTTAATTCGTTCCGAAGATCCGTACTTAACCTGAAACTGTTCTTAACCTGAAGCACCACTTTAGCTAATGGGGCCACCTGCTGCTGCCGTGCTGCCGGAGCACGATTTCTGTTCTCATCCTGAAGCAAAGTTCTTAACCTGAGGTACTATTTCTGGGTTAGCGGAGTCTGTAACCTGAAGCGTATGTAACCTGAAGGGTATATAACCCAAGGTACCACTGTATTTGGAAAAGAAATGGGGGCAGGGACAGATCTCCCAATCTGCACTTGTTTCTGCTGCTCAAGTGCCTTGTCTTTATTCATGACTTTCTAAAAAGCCACTTGAGGTTTCTCAGCAGAGTGTGCAAGGCTGTGATGAAGCGCGCAGGTTTCCCTGTCTTTTCTCTAATTCCATCCCATCAGCCGACCAGCGTGAAGTGAAAACGGGCGCCGGGGCTGGACCAGCACAACATTTGTAAACACATTACCATGCCGGAATGAAAAATAATACAAAGTCACACAGCAGAGCTGGCGCCAGGTGTAAGGGGCCTCAGCATCGAAGTGATGAATGGCTGCTTGGCCTTTGAATTTGTCACGGCTCCTAAGAACCAAATTGAGCGCTTCCCTCCCTCCCCGAAGCTGGTCTTGTTTCCGTGCAATAAACAAGAGCCAGGGTGGGGAAGCTGAAGGCTGCAGGGGCACACGGTTGCCATCTCCTCCTCAAAGTTCTCTCTCTGAGCATGAGGGTTTGATAGTTGTTAACCTTTCTTTTACACGAAAGCTACTAACAAGAGGAAATGAGCAGCCTTCCCTGCAAAACGCTCTGTTGTCTGCAAGTTCAGGTCTGCAGCAGGAGCTACATGGCATCTATACAAGTGGATGCCCACTCTGTTTCCTAGGCATGCCCATAGCTCAGTGATTAGAGCATCTGCTTTGCATGCAAGAGGTCCCCGGTTCAAACCCCAGCATCTCCAGGTAAGGCTCAGAAAGACTCCGGGTCTGAAATCCTAAAGAGATGCTGCTAATCAGGGAAGGGGAATTATGAGACTCCTTTTGGAGAAACAGAAGTCAGGGTCTGATCACCAGCAAGTCTGGTTTCCCCCATCGTAGTAATGTTGTCTGCCTTCAAAATGCTACAATTCTGCAATTCTATACTGGTACTGGGATGCGGGTGGCGCTGTGGGTTAAACCACAGAGCCTAGGGCTTGCCGATCAGAAGTTTGGTGGTTCGAATCCCCACAACGGGGTGAGCTCCCGTTGCTCGGTCCCTGCTCCTGCCAACCTAGCAGTTCGAAAGCACCTCAAAGGGCAAGTAGATAAATAGGTACCGCTCCGGCGGGAAGGTAAACGGCATTTCCGTGCGCTGCTCTGGTTCGCCAGAAGCGGCTTAGTCATGCTGGCCACATGACCCGGAAGCTGTACGCCGGCTCCCTCGGCCAGTAAAGCGAGAAGAGCGCCACAACCCCAGAGTCGGCCATGACGGGACCTAATGTTCAGGGGTCCCTTTACCTTTACCTTTACACTGGTACTAAATGTATAAGTAAACACTCCCCATTTATCATCATGGAACTGAAGAGCTGGAAGGGAATCTCCCATGCAGGAGTGCACATAATCAAAAATGAGAGAAGTCCGCTCTCGTTTTCCAGTGGGCGACGTTGCGGCTAGGCTTCTGGGACTCTGCAGTGATCCAGCAAGGGGGCAGAGAGTTGACGCCCCCCTCCATGTTGTCCCAGCTGCAGGGCCACGCCCAGTGTGGCACTGCTGGCCAATCAGTGCCAGGCGGGGGCGGGGCCGTGGGAGGGCAGACCCACCTTTCTTGTTGGTGGCTTAGGCATTGGGTAAGCCTTTGTTTGGATGGAGGGGAGGTTGTAGCCTCCGCCTGCCCCTCCTCAGTAAGGGTATCCTGCTGAAGGGATCGGGCTGTGTGGGTTCTTTCCAATGTCCAGACATGGGCTAGGGCCATGTCACAACCCCAACGGGGACCATTTGGAGTGCCCCTATTGGATGTAAGTCATAGGGATCCCCCTATTGATGGTTTAACCTTAGTGGACTCCCTGCAGATGGGTGGGAGTCGAGATACAGTCTGGCTTCACCCAATGCCGAAGCCAAACTGCTCACATCTCTAACCAATAAATTTGTGGCCTATTTGAACCCAAAAACCAAAATACTCGTGTCCATGTGCTTATTGTCCATTAGACATCTGAAGGCAGCCCTGTTTAGGGAAGTTTTTAATATTTAATGCTGTATTGTTTTTAACACTCAATTGGGAGCCACCCAGAATGGCTGGGGAAACTCAGCCAGATGGGTGGGGTATAAATAAATAAATAAATAAATAAATAAATAAATAAATAAATAAATAATGATGATGATGATGAAACTGTGGGGCACATAATTAGGCTTTTCTCATATAGCCAGACTTTCTCCTCTGCAGCAAGGAGTCTCCCATGTAGGAAATTTGTATCAGCTGTGCTGAATCAGGGCTAAGAATAAAATCTGCGATGGTGTGGGGGGCGAGGGGGGGGGAGTGTGGTCTACAAAGCCCCAAAGCCACCCTTTCCATTTTAATAGAGTCCGCTGGATTTCATTATATTTCCTCTCTTTACTTACGACCGAAGAGATATTATCAGTCAGATTCAGGTCAGATGCTAACAGCAGCTTGACTATTTTTGGAGGGTACTTTGTACAGAGGGTAGGATTAATTATCCACGAATTATGATGGAAACCCCATGGGAGCGGATGTGGCAAGCATATCGGGAGACCTGCATCCATTGTGAAGGGTGCCATTCAAACAGATGTGGAATTAAGCTTGACAATCAGATGCTTTCTTATTAAAAGGCATCTCATCACCCAGCGCTGCATATAAATGGGAGCCGCAGCTCATGGCTTTCCATGTGAAGCTTAAATGCTCATTGTGCAGGCAGGAGAGAAAAAGCGTTGAGTAAGTAAGAGGGGAAAACATCACTTGCTTGGACAATATAGATCAGAGTTTTCCAAACTGTGTGTCATGACATGCTAGTGTGTTGGCTGCAGTGTGTAGGTGTGTCGTGTGAACACTCCTTCTAGGGCTGGAAAGGAGTTAGTTTAACCTCCGGTTTGCTAGTAAAACTGAATTGCTGTGTTGTGAAATGACGCATGTTTAAAAAATTGTGTCGCCAACATGAAAGGTTTGGAAAGCTCCGATCTAGACTATTAGGGTCATTTTATCCTTTTCCCAATAGCTGCCAATCCAGTTCTCATGTGGCACCTTGATTCAGCACTTCAGAACAGGAATAAGGCAAGAAAAAGTCTCTGCAAAAGGACAATTTTCCAGGAAATTACAGCCACAACGTCAGGAATACTCACAAATATCTGAGACTGGGAAGATTCTGGAAGGCATATCTATCAATATACACCAGGTGGTTTGCTTTCTCAATTCTTCTGTGGGAGGAAAGAAAAAAAGAAAAAAAATGTCAGTTATAATTCGAATTGTCTCGTTTTCCCACAGTATGAGAGCCAGTGTAGTGTAGTGGTTAAGAGTGGTAGACTCGCAATCTGGGGAACCGGGTTCGCTTCCCCGCTACTCCACATGCAGCTGCTGGGTGACCTTGGACCAGTCACACTTCTCTGAAGTCTCTCAGCCCCACTCACCTCACAGAGTGTTTGTTGTGGGGGAGGAAGGGAAAGGAGAATGTTAGCCGCTTTGAGACTCCTTCGGGTAGTGATAAAGCGGGATATCAAATCCAAACTCTTCTTTGGCTGAGGAAAGCAACATGATCTGCAAAGCAGTATTGGTGAGACCCAATGGAAGGTCAGCACAACTGGGGTTAAGCAACTTCATTCGCAAGTGCAGTTTATCTATTGGGTCTGGCTGATGCGCTGTGCGAAGAACGAGACTCCTCTTTGTGGAATGGCTTCTGCGCAAGTGATCTGCTGTGAGTGGATATCACCCAATATACCTCTTCAGCTAAAAGTTTCTCTTATGTTCTTTAGATTCTTGGTACCAATTCCCATGCTTGCAGATGGACATATGACTTGCTCCTTCTAGTCCAGAGAACCACTGACCTGACAGTGCAAGACCATTCATTTACCCTTTCTCCACAAATATCTCTCTCCCCACCCTGCTCAACACTTGTTGTTGTTTTTAGTCGTTTAGTCGTGTCTGACTCTTTGTGACCCCATGGACCAGAGCACGCCAGGCCCTCCTGTCTTCCACTGCCTCCCGCAGTTTGGTCAGACTCATGCTGGTAGCTTCAAGAACACTGTCCCACCATCTCATCCTCTGTCATCCCCTTCTCCTTGTGCCCTCCATCTTTCCCAACATCAGGGTCTTTTCCAGGGAGTCTTCTCTTCTCATGAGGTGGCCAAAGTATTGGAGCCTCAGCTTCAGGATCTGTCCTTCCAGTGAGCCCACCATTACATTTACACAAATGCATTTGTGATGTGATATAAGCAGTTTGTCACTGTTCAGCTGTCGTGGGCAGAGGCTGATTAACACCGTAGTTCTCAATGGAAACAGCTTATCACTTGACTGCTACCACCTCTGATTCTGGTGAATTTGGGTTTCGGGCTGGTCCAGATGTCCCAATTGCTACAGGAGTTAGCATTTCCTTAGCAAACTCTCACCCCACTCCAATCATTTCATTCAATACATGTGCCTAACTAAATTGGGGGTCACCTTTCACATGGGCATGTCCATTCTTTTAGATTGCCATCAGAGGCCCTGCTTCAGGTGCTACTGCCCTCAATTGTCAACTTTGGGTTGATTTTTTTAATTGGGATGTTGGTTTTGTTTTGATTTTATGTATTTGATATTTTATGTGAACCGCCCTTAGACCTTTGGGTATAGGGCGGTATAGAAAACAAACAAACAAACAAACAAACAAACAAACAAACAAACAAAACCACTACTATTACTACTACTGCAGACAACGAAAAGAAAAAGGGCCTTTTTAGTGGTGGCCCCCTGCAAACTTGACACTTGACGCTTTCCCTTCCAAACACACGTGAAGCACATCCCTCACCAGACAGGCTCTACGCTCTCCTTGATTGCTTTTATCTAACTGGACTGCGACCTTGAATGGTGTACAATAAAGCCTTTTGCTTAGGGTTGCCATACGCCCAGAATTTCCTGGACATACCAGTCGTAAGCAATGTCTGGGTGGAAATCGGAAAAAAATGTCCGGGAAAATCTGGACGTATGGCAACAAATCCGTTTGTTCTGAGCTCATTTTAATTAAGATGCAGAACTTTTAAATGTTTTATAACACTGCTGGTTTTAAACTGTCCGTTTTCAAAGTGCTTTTTAAAAAAAGCAATTTAAATACATTTTGTATGAGTGTGGTGCTGGCTTCCGAAATGTCTTAACTGCTGCTTTAACTTTAATTGCATTTTATGGGAATTACGTTTTATCCTCTCTTTTTTAAATGGAAGCTGCTTTGAGAGGGCTTTGCCCTAAAAGGCTGCCAAGGAACGTTTGAAGTAAATAAAATGAAAAAGCAATCAAGCCCGGTGTGTGGTCAGGCACCTGTAAGCAGGGGGCTTACCTCATGCAAGACCACAATTGCCAAAGTAGTGAAGCATACCCTCCAACATTTCTCCAAGGAGAATAGGGACGTCCTAAGGAAAAGCGGGACATTCCGGGATCAAATCAGAAACCAGGACAACTTCTGTACATCTGGGACCGTCCCTGGAAAACAGGGACACTTGGAAGGCCCTGACCTGTTCACTCCTCTCCCTTCTGTCCTCAGTCTCCATTATGGGATGGCAGAAGCATCCCCTCTCACAGCCCCCTTTGTCACGAGTTACAGAGGGTGGTTACCTCTTTCTCCTTTGAAATACAAATAGAGCTGAAGAAGGAAGTTGGAAGAGTGACACTCTGCCCCACTTCCTCTTTCACCTCTATGTGCTTTACAGGATCTTAGTTTTACCTAGATTCCTTGGAAAAGCAGCATGTGTGTGTGTATGCAATAATAATAATAATAATAATAATAATAATAATAATAATAATACCCCTACCCATCTGCCTGGGTTTCCCCAGCCACTCTGGGCGGCTCCCAACAGAATATTAAAAACACAACAAAACATCAAACATTAAAAACTCCCCTAAACAGGGCTGCCTTCAGATGTCTTCTAAAAGTCAGATAGTTGCTTATTTCCTTGACATCTGATGGGAAGGTGTTCTACAGGGCAAGGGCAGCTACCAAAAAGACCCTTTACCAGGTTCCCTGTAACTTCGCTTCTCACAGTGAGGGAACCGCCAGAAGGCCCTCGGTGCTGGATCTCAGTGTCTGGGCTGAATGATGCTCCTTCAGGTATACTGGGCTGAGGCCGTTTGGGGCTTTAAAGGTCGGCACTTTGAATTGTGCTTGGAAACATACTGGGAGCCAATGTAGGTCTTTCAGGACCAGTGTTATATGGTCTCACTCCCAGTCACCAGACACATTCTTTCTGTCTCTTGGAAGTGTGTCTGATCCAGGGGAGAGGGTGAGGGAAGTGATCAAAAGGGGTGGTACCTACAGAAAAAAAAATCAAATGTGCTCATGAGCCTAAAATGGTTGGCAACCCTGCAACAGCCAATTCACACGGTACATTGAGCACAATGACCATTGACATCTAGTAGGATGAGGCTGAAGACTGATGAGGCAATGCAAAAGAAAAGAAAGACACACAGAGAAAAACTAGTCCTAGATCTATTTTGTCCCCATGGAACCACCATGTGCATTTTTATGGTTGGTCCACCAGTATCTTGTAATGCCCCAGCCCTCCAATTCCATTTATTGACTTACATTTCATAGAGTTTTGGAAGGTTGGCGAACACGTTCGATTCTATAGTTCCCAAGGCATCGTTCTGAGAGATTTCTCTGTCAAGAAAAAGGAAACATCAGCCATGGTGGCCTTGCTATTTATCAGAAACGTCAACATTACAAATGTATGTGAAAAATGAAGGGAATAACTTAAAAACATTGCCGGCACCGAAGGATCCATAAATCCTGGACTACAACCCATTGAAACACAAAGCTGGCTTAAAAGAAAAGAATATTTGTAAGAACCTGTTGCAGGAATAATGGAGGGGTGTGGGGGGGGGGAGGGAAAGTACTCCAGTACCTCAGATAGCATAGCAAACATCTCCAGGAGTTTGCAGGATAGAATGCACCAGTCAAGTGAAGGTGGAGGATCACATTTTTTCCTGCCGCCCTCTATTGAAAACTGAGGATATTCTAAGAACTGCTATTTGACTTTATGAACTGGTGCCCAAGTTTGTTTCCCCCCTCCTTTCCCCCTCCTTTTCTCTCTTTTGTGTCAGGTAGGGACTGCCTTTTTTTAATTTACTGTATGTAAATTACTCTGTTACTCTGGGAGTCTTTTTGGCTGAGGAGCAGGATACAAATGCAATAGATAGACAGACACAGACAGACAGACAGACAGACAGACAGACAGACACATGATAGATAGATACTTGAAAAATGAGCACATCAGGAAAATGAATCTCTTTGTTGTGATTATTTACTATTTGCAGGGCATTTGTTATGCATTCAAAAGCAATATCCCATTTGGACCATGCCAGAAGAGCGAGCGAGGCAGGAGAGGGCCTGCTGCTTCCTTCTAGAAATAGAATTAGCTAGTTGTTTCTATGACAACGTGGCCAACTCTTTAGTCATGTAAGAAGAATGCTTAACAGCTTGGCCAGGGCCATTAATTTAACAAAGAGACTGGTTTAACCACTTCATCACTTCTACTGAAGAAACCCATCTTATAAAACTGCAGTCCTAGAGGGGACCCAAAGATGGTATCCAAACCAACCAACCCCAATACCCCAAATCCTATAACAACATATTAACTGAACAGTAGTGCTGGGTTGAAGTTTCTGGCACATTCAAGGGATGGGGGAAAACCTTTCCCAAAGTTTGCAAAAAATCTTCAGGGAGAGGAAGTTCTAGCATGTCTTCTCCTTCTCCTTCTCCTTAGAATCATAGAATCATAGAGTTGGAATAGACCACAAGGGCCATCGAGTCCAACTCCCTGCCAAGCAGGAAACACCATCAGAGCACTCCTGACATATGGTTGTCAAGCCTCTGCTTAAAGACCTCCAAAGAAGGAGACTCCACCACACTCCTTGGCAGCAAATTCCACTGTCGAACAGCTCTTACTGTCAGGAAGTTCTTCCTAATGTTTAGGTGGAATCTTCTTTCTTGTAGTTTGGATCCATTGCTCCGTGTCCGCTTCTCTGGAGCAGCAGAAAACAACCTTTCTCCCTCCTCTATGTGACATCCTTTTATATATTTGAACATGGCTATCATATCACCCCTTAACCTCCTCTTCTCCAGGCTAAACATGCCCAGCTCCCTTAGCCATTCCTCATAAGGCATCGTTTCCAGGCCTTTGACCATTTTGGTTGCCCTCCTCTGGACACGTTCCAGTTTGTCAGTGTCCTTCTTGAACTGTGGTGCCCAGAACTGGACACAGTACTCCAGGTGAGGTCTGACCAGAGCAGAATACAGTGGCACTATTACTTCCCTTGATCTAGATGCTATACTCCTATTGATGCAGCCCAGAATTGCATTGGCTTTTTTAGCTGCTGCATCACACTGTTGGCTCATGTCAAGTTTGTGGTCAACCAAGACTCCTAGATCCTTCTCCTTCTCCTTCTAGATCCTTCTCCTTCTCCTTCTCCTTCACTGAGCACTGAATGGCCCATGGCAGCACCTATCCTTCCCACGGGGCATTCCGTCAAAGGAAGTTGCCTTATACTGACTCAAATCAATGGACCACCTAGTTCAGTATGGTCTATGCTGATTGGTTTCTGGCAGGGTTCTCTCTCAACCCTACTTGGAGATGAGAATTGGCCCATTGATCTTCAACAGGAAAAACAGATGCTCAGCCACTGAGCTACGGCTCTTCCCTCCTTGTCAAAGAGCTCTGAAGCTGGGCTTCAGAAGGAGAAGAAAGCCACCCTCAGTCACTGTGTTGGGTCCTACCCCCACCCCTAGGTGCTGTGAGGCAGAGACACATATCTCAATTAACCTTATAAACCGCATCAACGGTGAATGGAAAATGCAAAACAACTCACGACCCAACATTAACAACCTCATGTTTAAATTCCCCACTCACGTCAAGAAATGCGATTAAGTGGAAGTTCTATTGCTAATTCCACTACATTACACATTATGATGAAACGGGTAACAGCAGGTGCTTTTACAGCGACACAGTATATATCAAGGTTTTTTTTGTTTCGTTTTTTTAAAATAAACCTTGAATGGTAAATTAAACAAAACTTAAACACACAAACGCGCGCGCACACACACAGTCTAGCTACAATAAAATAAAAATAAAAATGTGTCTTTTATGTTTATGATCTGTCTCTCGCAATTCACCCAAGCTAAGCAAGTGGAAGCAGCTCTTGCTTCCTTGAATACAAACCCCTCTTAAAGGGATCATTTATTATTTCAAGCTATGCTAGGTTTGAAGTAATTATCATCTTTATCTAGCAAGAGCGAGGGAGGAAGGAAAAGAGCGATGCACGGGGAGAGCAGGGTGGGATGTGGTTTCTAGAAGGCTTTGCAACATGGGGTTTGGTATAAATGTGAGTAGAACTCTGCGTGCTCTCAGATCAAAATCCTCCACCCCACTAGCTCAAATTCTTTGCCAAGAAAAGCAACACTCTTTCAACTGTCACAGTTTTGTGGTAGAGCCCCATCATTGCTCCAAGGCTTAATCTTCTAAAATGATAAATCGGGTCCTCCCTTAAAGAGGGCACGTATTGCAGTGAGACCTGGACAACCGACACCCTGTGTTGTGGGTGGGTACGATTGGTCAGCCACAACACCCGATTGGTAGGTCCCTTGAAGCTGGGTACAATCTGGCCAATGGGAAGCAGTCCAAATAGTTTGAGGGACCTATTTATGCCCATGCACGTGACCCAGAGCTTCCTCTTTCAGAACACCCGCCCACCTCTCCTTATTTTTAGGGCTTTGCACTTGACCTTGCTATGCCACCATGTGTTTGTCATTGGGACAGGGGCACAGCAGGAATTTTCCCCACTTGGCTGATTGGCTGTTGCCATTTGGGTTTTGCCTGCTGCGTAGCAAATCGCCACAACTTGTAAGGTTCTGGATAGGCTCTGGTTCAGTTGAAAGGGATGGGAAAACGCTCTTGCCATCCCTATGTGAAGGGTATTCCATTAAAGGAATCCAGGGACTCTATGGTTTGGTCAACCCCTGAGAGGTGGTTGTGCCCGTGTCTGAGTCCAGGGGGACATTTGGGTGGCGGAGATAGCCCGTTCCCGGCTTTCCGCTTATCCAGGTGTTCACCCTTGGCTGACCTATGCTGGAACCCTGGGTCAGCGCTACCTGCATGGCCGGGAGCTAGTCGAACCAGAGCTTATGCAACCAGTCACTTTCTGTAATCATTAAAGTTGTGGCCTAAATTCTGCCAAAAGCCAAAACCAAAATTTGAGTCAAGTGTGAATTTATTTCAGGGGGAGGTTTCTGGGTCTGAACACGCAAGAAGAGACCCATCTAGTCCAGCATCAAATTCTCACAGTGGCCAACCAGATGCCAGTGGTTGGACCACAGGCAGGACATCAGCGCAACAGTGCTCTCCTATCCTGCTATTCCCAACAACAGGCATTCAGAAACAATGAATTTCCATGGCCTGCTCCCCTTTCCATCTCTCTTTTCTTAGGGTCCCTGCTGCTTCTCTTGGCACACGATGTCAGCATATCCTTCTCTCCATCTTTCCTAGTCCTGCACAGCTTTCCTTTCCTTGATTTCTCCAGACTTCTCCCTTCTCTCCCTCAATAATAATAATAATATCCCCAGCCGCTCTGGGCAGCTTCCAACCAAATATTAAAAACAATACAGCATCAGACATTAAAAACTCCCCTAAACAGGGCCGCCTTCAGTTGTCTTTTAAAAGTAAAATAGTTGTTTATTGCCTTGACATCTGCTGGGAGGGCGTTCCACAGGGTAGGCGCCACTACAAATTAGAGAGCCAGTGTGGTGTAGTGGTTAAGAGCGGTAGATTCGTAATCTGGGGAACCGGGTTCGCATCTCCGTTCCTCCACATGCAGCTGCTGGGTGACCTTGGGCTAGTCACACTTCTTTGAAGTCTCTCAGCCCCACTCACCTCAAAGAGTATTTGTTGTGGGGGAGGAAGGGAAAGGAGAATGATAGCCGCTTTGAGACTCCTTCGGGTAGTGATAAAGCGGGATATCAAATCCAAACTCTTCTTCTTCTTCTTCTACTGAGAAGGCCCTCTGCCTGGTTCCCTGTAACCTCACTTCTCGCAGCGAGGGAACCGCCAGAAGGCCCTCGGCGCTGGACCTCAGTGTTGGGGCTGGATGATGGGGGTGGAGACACTCCTTCAGGTATACAGGACCAAGGCCTGTATACATCGACACTGAGTAGGTAAGCACTGCCTCCAACCAAGAGGTGGGTCTGTTCCTATCCTTAGCATCTAGATGAAGTTTTGGAGACTATCATAGTTAAGCGATATTGTCAGGGCTGCCTCAGGTCCCAGCTCACAGAAGACCAACGCCAGTCCGTTGTTATACAAAATAGTCTTTATTGAAGTTCAGTTTCTCATTTACAGCCACGGCGCGCAGCTCTACGTCTTAAACCCTAGACCGCCGAAGCTCCGTCTGAGTCTCCTCCCCCCAGACACCAGTTTAAGACCCTAGCCTTGCTCCACCTCTTCCTCTGCTCCCTCCTCTGGGTCCGCTTGTCCGCCGAGGTCTTGCCCTTCCTAGACTCTTCTGACGCTGAGTCCCCTGAGTCTTCCCCCTCCCTCCGGCGGGCTTTAGGACCTGGTTCCCAATCCGGGCTTTCTGCTGTCCCGCGCGCCTGTACATTTGAACTTGGCG